TATATTGAAATTCAATTCTTATTAATTAATTTTTAAGGGGTTGTGTAACATGTATGCATACATTAATAATTTAATTGATTTTTATTTTATTTAAAAAAAAAACTCATGAATGTTGATCAAACGAAAAAAGTAGCAGAATTTATAATGAACCAAGATAACGAAATAACAGATTTAAAATTAAAAATATCTGAATTAAATAAATATATTAAAGATCTAGAAACAACAAATGAACAAAATATGTTTAAAATATCATTTTTTAGAAATCAATTAAATATGCGTGAAGATAAAATAATAGCACTTGAAAAACAATGTGAGAGACATAAAAATTGGGTAATTGATGTAACTAACAAATGTACAAAAGAAACTAAAGTTATAAAACGAATAAGAGATTTATTAGTAGGCACCGGTTGTATGTCTGGTTTTGATGATGATGCTATAATGGTAAGTATATTAGAAAATATGGTTTTTAAGAGAAATTATTATGCAAACTTTTTAAATAGATTTAAATTAAAAAATATGGCAGAATTAGAAGATATTATTAAAGGCTATAGATCTATAAAAGATAATATTAATAGTGATACACCAGAAAATGAAAATAATGATAAAAATAATAATAAGGATAAAATAGAATTATTTCATTATAGGATACAGGATATTGTTAATAAAGGATTTGATGTAAACACTTTATATAATATAGTACATAATTTAGGTTCTGATAATATTAATAAAAATACAATTGATACTAATACTCCAAAAAATATAATTGTGGAGAATAAAAACATTGAAACAGAAAAAAATAATAAACCAGATAAAAAAGATATAGAACTTATGCATTACAGGGTAAAAGAAATTGTGGAAAAAGGATTTAATACAACAGTATTATATGATATTATTAATAATAATAATAAAAGTGAAAGTAAAAATACCCCAAGAAAACCAAAGAAGCCTACTAATCAGGTTCAAATAGTTGATAATATTATACGTAGAATACAAAAAAATACAAAATTATTACAAAATAAAAATGATGATTATTACGATCTTATATACACCAAAAATAGAAAAGATATAGATTTTTATACAACTATATATAATGATAAAGATTTTAAAGATATATCAAATAAGATAGACATAAAGTTGGATAAAAATACACCAAGATTAGATAGAACATGTGGAATATTAAATTTCATAAAGAACAATACTGATTTATATAATTCAGAATATATATTTAGCTACTATACTTTCAAGTCTGTAAATAATACTGGGTTAGAGTATTTATATAAAAAATTATTAGAATTATGTCCTTCAGTAGAATCTAATGAAGATAATTGGGAATCTGATACAGAAGAACATATATGCACAGTTAAAAATTGTAATAATTATGTCCCAATGGAAGGAATAAAATGTAAAAAACACTAGAATAAATAAATATAGCATATTAACAATATAGTATAATGCTATACTGTAGACACAGTATATACATATCTACCTAATTAAATAGATCCTCATCTTAAAAATTGAATTTTTATTTAAAATTAAAATTATAATATAATGCCTTTTGAGTTACAATTTAAGCTTTTTTTGGGTGACTTGTCTTTTGCTGCAGATGAATTTGAACTATTAATAGAAAATAATAACAAAAAAATATATGAAATAGATTTTATAGAACATAAAAACATAATTGAAAATATTTATAATGATAATGACATGGAGAATGATTATACTGATGATTATAATGAATTTATAATTAAAATGGAAGACTATTTAAATGATAACGATATTGATAGGCTATATGTAAGTGTTTATGATATAATAATAGATTTTACAAAGTACCAATATAATAAAACTATTAAAATGGTAATAAATAAATAAATATAAGATTTTTAATATTAATTCTAAATGTATACAATCAAAATACACCATTTTACAACATTTGAGATTATATAATAAGTGTACGTATAATAACTACAGAAGAAAAAGCTAATAAAGTATCAATTCATGCCAGGAATCCATATAATGATTATTAATATTAAATTATTACTAGAATATGAGCTAGGCCTCTTCTCGGTGCCCTTGCGGAGATGGCTCTTGAGCCGGAACTTCGGCAAGTTCGGCGGTGCGCCAGACGACGACGCGGTCGCAACTCGGTGCGATGCCAACTTGGTGGCAGTCTCGCCGCGAAGCTTTGGAGCTTCTGCAAGCAATTTCCGCATTGTCTCCAACTTTTCACACCAGAACTCATACTCCTGGTTTGCGGCGGCAAGCTGGTCCTTTGTCATCACACCTACCTGGTCCATGATATAATCCTGGGCCTCGGTTGCCTTCTCTTGCAGACGTGCCACCATCTGTTCAGGGCTGCTACCCGGTGCGAGCGAAGCGTCAGCGCGTGCGGCTTCCGCGCGGTCAAAGTCATCGACCGTCCAGGCATGTGTGGGCTGGACTGACTTGGTGGCCCACTTGGAATCGGCCGAGGAAGTCTTGACGGGTGATGACGAACCAGACGCGGAGGCAACGGGTGACTTGCGCATGGGCTTTTTGCCCTTCTTATCCGCCGTGGACTTGGTCTTGACGGCAGGAGCATCCGTCATTTCGACGTCTGGGAACTCGGCCTGCGAGGTAGGCGTGGACGCCGTGGACTTCTCAGCATCTTGCTCTTGCGGCTGCTGCTGGGGCTGCTGTTCGACCTGCGAGACAGTCTGGTTACCCTCAAGAACGGGCGAAGCAGAGTTGGAGCGGGATTCGGTGTTGTTGGACATGGTAAAGGTAAGACAGGGAGAGTTCACTTAAAAAAATGAGATAAATGTGTAGACTGAAAGTTTGAAAATGAGAGGTGAGAGTGAAAATTGGTAACAAGAAAGAGTAAGTGAGACTGTGTCTTGTATTGAAAGGTAATCAAAAATGATTATTCTATGATAGTCTACAATTCATCTACTGTATATATAGGTGTCAGTCATGACATAGAGATCCAATAATATAATTATCCTGGATTGTGTCTTTGTGTAGGTAATGTGTATATACCGTACAAATAGGAATATAGGAATATATAATAAAGTAATACAACACATAAACTGTATGTGATTGTATACAAATACGATATGTTTGATCATGTATAATGTATGTGTTAAGCAACCGTACATCCAATCACGACATAGTCATGTTGAGGACTCACTCATCAAGGACACGACTTACTAAACAGATAATCCTATACCACAACTAGTCTGCTTCACGTAAGATGCGGTCCTGGTTCAAGTTAACATCGCCGGCCTCGCCGTGCATGACATATGTCTGCAGACCATGGCGATCCATGAAACGCGTTATCCAGCCATCTGAAAAAACAATGGGAGCCTTTATGTCAAGCTTGTCCGTGACAGACATGGCAGTCTCTTTGATGGCGCCGCGGCTAATTGGGATATTGTTCTTCTGGCATTCGAGAACGAACTTGTGCACGGCATCTTCGATATCCGGTAGGGCGGCTTTTCTCGGGCGTTTGGCCTGAAGTTCGGCATCCGTCATTCCTTCGTATTGATCCCTCTTCTTGAGCAGCTTCGAGACGGCAGCTTGCGAGATCTCCACGTCGTACTCAGAGTAAATCCAATTAGCCATTTGTTTCTGCGTCCATAGCTTGTGCATCTCGTTCCATTTTGAGCATATTTCCAGGCGTTGCTTGTTATTCAAGCGCGTAACGGTGTTGTTCTTTCCCGTTGTCTATGCGTATACTGTAGTTCTAAGATAACATACATTCTACGTGGACAGAGACGATTTATATATCATAACGCAAGTTGCTAGAGAGTTCCTTAACATGCAAGTTGCTAGAGAGTTCTGTAACACACCCACATATGCGTTACGCGAAGCATTCGGACCTTAGATTCAGATAAGTTATATTTCGTCCTAAGTTATATTTTTTTGATCTCCCGAGCGTATAACTTATCCGCGCGGCTACTGTAGTTGGGCGTGCTGGACAAGAAAAAAAACAAAGTCGAAATCTGCCCTGCCAGAGCGCGAAATCACCACCCAAAAAATTTGCAAGTCACAAAAATTTGGGCGGGCGGGGTGGGGGAGGCGGCTCTTAACTCTGGAGTATTTAAGTAGATTGAACGGTGGATGGTAGTGTGTGACAGAACGAAATGATAGGTAGTGAACTATGGTGACAGAAAACCATATGCAAGTTAAAAAATGAGCCAATCAAATGGCGGAGATTATCTAGGGTAGGAATTTGAAATGGACCAAGGAAATTGAGGTTGTCGGGAATTGAATCATGATGATGGATGAAATTTACGCGTCTTCTTGTGGGATTTTCCCCCACAAATGACTATGCAATGACATCCCACTTGCTTAACTGAAGTTGTTCGTACAAAGCAATGGAGTCGAATGAATGTAATAATGTGTTCTTGGGACTACGTGAGCGTGGCCGGTAAGGCTCACACGCCCCGTGTCACAGTGACACGTGCGGTGCAACTTGTAGTGGTATCAGCTCCGGGGAGGTAGGTTCGGGAGCAAAAATAAAGGTAAGGAAATAAAGATAAAAATCAAGAAATAAAAAATCCAGGTCGTCGTACACAGTCCGTCGTGTACAGTTCCAAATCAACCCTTCAATCCAAGGAAAAAGAAAATATGATCACAACAAGATGATTTATTTCACTTGGTCGGTCTGGTGCTTTTATATCTTAGCCATGACCTTCCAAGTGTGATATGAACGATTTTTTTATCTAAATCGAAAACAGTAAGAATAAAAAAATAAGGACAAAAGAAGGGAAAGCATAAATGAAATTAAAGGTTATTCTGATCGTATATGAGCGATCAGAGAGAAGAAGGGAAGCAAGGTGAAATGAATTAATAAAGCGGGCAAAGGCAACACTACCCGAAATGGAAGTATAAAGAGCATTCCCAAAAAAAGGGAAGAGTGGGAAGACACAAAGGGGGTGACGTCGACACACAGAGGCAGAGAAGAATCACGTGCTCGCTTAACCAGAGGATTGATTATAGGTTTGTCAACAGTTAAATGGGGTCAGTTGGTGTAGTTGGTTATCACACCTGTCTCACACACAGGAGGTCGCCAGTTCGAACCTGGCACTGATCAGGATGGTGATAGTCTTTAACGTAATGTCGGCGTAGATTTCCTTTTTGGGTTGTCGGATCTTGAACCAAAACAGTGTCGTAATCCTTTTGGCTGTATAGCACAAGGCCAGGTGGATTGTGGAAATATAGAAGAGGGTGGATAAGATGATCTTTTATTCAGGATGACCTCGGGGTTATTTATACTGTGGAGAAAGGTTTCAAATAGTGTTAAAATTATAATTACACAATATCCTATATTGTTAAATAATTTTATGTTTAGGGTGAATAAAATATCTGCGTAAGTTGCAAAAAAACTTACGGCAGTGCTGTTTCCAAAGATAAGTTCTTTGGTTTTTACGAGTTTTATACGGAGTTTTAAAGGAGTATTGTTTTCACTCGTGTGTCCGTCTGTCTGTCTGTCTGTCGTCCGTTTTATTCTTGATGTGATTGGCTGGGAGTATCTTTCTCCAAGGTCAACTCGTGATGTGATTGGTCCGGACTTTTTTTTTTCGAGGACAAAATTTTACCTGATTGGTCGGAAATAATTTCCTCCGAGAAAAATACAAAAAAGGCAAATTTTGCATGTAGGCGCGCTCTGATTTGTAGAAGCAGAAAATCTGGTTCTCGGCTCATAATTCCTTCGAAATGGATATCCTTGACCATTGTCACGACCATGTCTCGACATGCAGGTGCTCATGCACGCATGCAGGGTCACTTGTGCAAACCATGAGTGTGGCACAAGTGACCTGCATATTCTGCCTCTGTCCTATAGAGCAACGTTAAATAATAAATAGAATGTTATTCTATTATTAATGTTTATTTAGATTCTTTCAGTAAATATACAATTTGCAAATAATATATAGAAAGAAAATAATCATTATTTTGTAAATAATAATTATTTTAGAAATATGGTTATTTATGAAATAACAGTATATTTCTTAATTCACATTTGAAATATTTCCTGTTGCAACTTATAAAATTAAAATTTTAACGATTGGTAGTCAATATTTCTTTCACATTACTTTTTGTTTAAAAAGTAACAAAAAAACCAAAGAACTTATCTTTGGAAACAGCACTGCCGTAAGTTTTTTTGCAACTTACGCAGATATTTTATTCACCCTAAACATAAAATTATTTAACAATATAGGATATTGTGTAATTATAATTTTAACACTATTTGAAACGTTTCTCTTATCATAAATGATTAGTTGTATTTAGCTGTATTTAGCTTTATTTAGCTGTATTTAGCCGTATAGATAGCTGTATATTTATTTTATATTTATATTTATATTTCATATTTATATTTATTCTTATTTATGGTTACACAATCGATAATACCTGCATGTATTAGGAGATATACCTATATCTAGAATATTAGTTATAAATTATTGATACTTATTTACTAGTCGGGATTTGAATTTCTGCTGTTTATATAGTGTAAACTTGTTCTAAAGATAAAATTGAATATTTATATATAATAAAATCATATTGTTCTTTTATTTTGATAAAAGTTTTAAATTAGACTAAATATATCTTGATATAAAATATAGCATTCTAATATAATAAAGCTATATCTAATAATAATTATTAAGAAATAATTGAATTTATTTATAAACCTTGTATTTTTAGAATATAAATATTATAGATCTGTATTAATAATACATTAAAGTATAAATTTTATAATGAGTAGATTAATTATAGAAGATAATAACTTAGATGATAACATTAACAATGAAATAAAAAGTATTAAAAAGAACTATTGGGCTTTTATAGATGATGTTTGGAAAATGAATGAAAATAAGTATAAACATAGAACTGAGGTAAAACATATTAATGAAATAGAGTTTATTAAGCAAACTTTATTTGAAAAATTAGGTTATATAGCAGTATTCTTCTTTTTGAATGTACTATATGCATCTGTAGAATATCCAAGTCCATATTTTGAATTAGAAAAAGGTTTATTTTTATTATTTCATTTAGTAAGTGGTATATCTGGTAAATATGAAATAGAAAGATATCTACCATATAGTAGTTTTCATAGTTTCTATAAAAAGTTTTGGATGTATGAAGAAAATTATAAAAGAATAAATAAAATTGTTGATGATGCATTAAAAAATATGTTCTCAAATGTAGATTTACGTATTAATTGTGCTAGAAAATTTAACCCGGAACTATTTAAACATATTACTTTATTAGGTGATGGTCATGATTCAAGATTAAATTACGTTAATACAAATATAAAAAAGGAAAAAATGTATAGCTATAAGTTTAAAAAGAATGGTATTAGAACACAAATTATTACAGATATTAATGATATGATCTTATTTGTGTCTAAATCAAATTTATGTTCAGATGCTAGTGATGGAACAATGTTTCTAAATATGAGATTATATAGAAAAATGGATGAATATGATGTGTTAGGTATTGATGGTGGTTATACACTTTTTGTTCAAAAAATAATTGAATTATGTAAAAATAAAGAAGTTAATGTTTCAGAAGATAATTTTGTCTATCCTATACGTAAAGAAGTAAATTCACAAATGACTGAAGTTGATAAACATTTTAATAATGTTTTTGGCTCATTTAGATCAAAAATTGAAAATACGTTAGGTACAATTGGTAATAAATTCAAAAGATTTAATAATAATGCCTCTGTTGTTAGGATGGATAATTATCATTTTTATAATCTACAGCTAAAGGTAGCATGCTTAATGTATAACATACAAAAATTCACTGATATGTTTCATATTGAAGCATTACCTCATAATAAACTTTGGATGGATAGTGAATTTCAATTTCCTATAAAAACCAATATTATGGATATGGCTATTTCTAATGAAAACGATAATAGAATTAAATTTAATAATATGATTAGTAAGCAAAATGAAAGAAATAAAAATATTAATAATCAAAATAATAATCAAGAAATTAGTTCTGATGAATATAATCCTGATGATAATGACTTAAGAGATATAGGTTCAAATTCTGATAATGAAGGTAAAAATATTAAAATAAATAAAAAGAAACGAAAAGTTAAAGCTATTAAAAATAAACAAGTTTATGAAATGGAGGCTATATTAGGACATAAATATGAAGATAATCAATATATGTTTCTAATTAAATGGATGTATTATGATGAAACACATAATTCATATATTCCATATGAAAATTTCACCAAAAAAGACCTACTAAATGATTATCTTGCTAAAAATAATATAGAAATCTAAGATTATATAAATAGTATCATAAATTATACTCATCTATAATGAATAAAGTATGTAGGTTAGGTTATGTTTAAATTTATATTTTATACAGGTGTAAATCTTAATCTTATATTGGTAAAAAGATTTATTAATAACATAGTCTTGGCATAGTCTTGGCATTAGTAATACATCAATTTATAATGTCGGAGATTAAATATAGATGTCATCCTTAAATAAAATTTATCCAGGAAGATAAAAATTCTCTTTATATAAAAAACGGATTTATAAATCCTATTCTTAAAAATTATAATTATTTTGAAATTCTTTAGAAACTGATATTATACATCTTGTATCATAAAATATTATTACAACTTTTTCACTTCATATATGTCCATTTAACTATTTAAAGTACTTTTATATTATTTGCTATAAAGATACTTATTATTTGAACCTAAATTTATAGATTATAAACTATCAACTATTATTGATATATCCTCTTAGCAGACTAGTCTATATAGCACTAATTTATTAATATCTGTAGATATATTGCAATATATAGATAGCATCTATAGATATGGATATCGGACTTTTTATATGGATTTGGTCAGACAAATTAAAACAATAATTGAATTATACAATAGCAATAAAATATTAATTATTGGTATTTTTAATAAACCTAATAGATATAACTTTGAGGTCTTTATATTTTGGTACTTTTTTAAATAATGGATGTTGACAATAAATTTGAAAAAGCACTTAGAGAAGAGATTGAATCTCAAGTTGCTAATTACTGGTATTTTTATAATGAGCCTTGGAAAAATATTCAAAATAGATATAATCATAGAACAAAAATTAAAGAATTTAAAAATAATACTGTTACATATATAAAAGATTATCTTTTAGAAAGATTAGGTTATACTGCTGTATTCTTTTTTATTAATATTTTATTTGGTAATAAAGAGACACCTGGTCCTTATAAAGAAGTTGAAAAAGCTCTTTTGCTTCTTTATCATATTGTATCTGGTGAAAATGGAACTGAAATGGGTAGATTTATTCCTTATACATCTTTTTATAGGCTTTATAAATGCTTTTGGATTGAAAGATATGCTGAACTAAATAAAATTGTTAAATATGATATGGAAAATTTATTTTCCAATATAAAAATTAGAATATTATCTGCCAGACTATATAATCCTGATTATCTTGAAAATGTAACATTATTTATTGATGGTGTGGATTCAAAAATTAAATATTATAAACCATTTGAACAAAAGAAAAATCTTTATAGTTATAAATTACATGGAAAAGGTATACGTACACAATTAGTTTGTGATGTTAATGGTATGATATTATATACAAGTAAATCTGAAAAATGCGCTGTTGGTAATGATGGTTCTATGTTTATAAATATGGGTTTACATAAGAAAATTAGTTCAGCTGATGTAATTTGTGCAGATGGTGGATATACTCAACATATAGATAAATTTATAGAAAATGCCATTAATGATGGATATGATGAATTTAAAACAAGAAACTTTCAAGTACCTATAAGAAAAGAAAAAAATAAAACATTATCTAGTAAAGAAATTACAATAAATCAAAAAATAGGATCTTTTAGATCCCATATGGAAAATCAGTTTCAACAATTAACTAGTATATTCAAAAGGTTTACTAATAATAGGTCATCTTTACAACTATCTGATATAAAAGTATATAATCTTCAACTTAGGGTAGCATGTTTATTAAAAAATATCAGATTCTTCATGGAAAAATTTGATATAGAACCTGATGAAGCACATAAGCTATGGTATAGTGAGTC